AAAAAAAAGGAATAAAAATAAAATAAAAAACCAAAATTCCTGTCATAAACACCAAAAGTCTAAAACTACTTGGTAACACTGCTAGGTATGCAGTTAAGAGTTTGTGCTGGATATAAGGCTGATCTTGGCCTACAGATGTGGGGACCTGGGCCCAGAGTCTTCAGCAAGTACTTTCCGTACATCTGTAGTGGCTTCCCAATCCTTACCCTGTTTCTCCAGGTGGCATCCCTCTCCTAGTTGCTGTGCTATTCTCGAACAGACTTGAGGTGCTATTCCCAGGCCCATGTACCTTTGAATCCTTGTGGCCCTTGCTCAGCCTTCTGTGCTCCTCTTCCCCTGGCAGTCTTTGTCCTCTCAGGTCACTTGCTGCAGGGTAGGGTGGGGTGCTATGATAGTGCCTGGCCCTCTGCTCCTGCTGTTGCAGTCCAAGCCTGCTTAGTTCAGTTCTTAGACCTCTCCTGAGTAAGGAGGTGTGGGGCTAACACTGCCTAGCATGTAATAAACACTCAACACCTACGAGTAGCTATTATTATACACTTGTTTTCCAATTTTTAAATTATAGTCAATGTTGTGATAAACATCTGTACTAGGATTTTTCCACTTGCTGTGTCAAAAGGAATAGTTTCCATATATCCTTAGAAAAATTGCCTAGCCCTGTATTTGATCAGTACCTTGGTCTTTTGTAAAAACAGATGATATAAAGGCTTGCAGTGAAACATAATCTCACAGAGGCCACTCCTTATTCAGTAGCCAGTCAGTAACAGATACAATTCTATCTCTAGTTATGTAAAGCAATATTTTTGTAAGGCTTAGAAATAACATTTTAGGACTCTTTTAAATTAAGGAGTTTAAATGCTTTGACACTGCATTCATAGCTCAACTGAAATCTTACTGTGACTTATTAAAATGATTTGGTTCTTTAAATGCTCCTAGTCCTCAGATGTTGTTACTGTCATATCCAGGTTCAAAAGCTCACAAGGTCATTGGCCAGTACTGTCAGACCAACACCAAGACCCTATCGAGATTGCTCTTGCTCTAAAAAAAGTACTATTTGATCTGAATTTATTTATTTAATTTTTTTTTGCAGTACCAGGAATTGAACGCAGGACCTTGTGCTAGCCAAGCAAGCACTTTTTCTACTGAGATATATCCCTGGCCCCATGAATCTGAGTGATTTTTTTTTTTTTTTTTTTTTTGCGGAACTGGGGATTGAACTCAAGCCCTTGCACTTGCCAGGAAAGTGCTTATTCTACTGAGTCATCTGCCTGGCCCCCTGAATGATTTTAAAACAGGCTGAAAGTCTGTTTTAAAGGTCAGAAATGTCCACTTGAGCATATCTGTGATACCTGGGAAACAGCAGCATCCTATGGTCAAACTGTCTAGAGGCAGGGCAATAAAGAGCCTATTCTCTGGGTTGGACCCATTAAATCCTGTGTTGTCACTGTTTGAGATATATTGAAGCCAGGATTTACAAGAGAAAAGATTTAATGTAGGATAAATAATTTATAGGATTATTTTATAATATTCACCCAAAGAGTCAAATGCAAGTGTGCAGAGATCTGTCCATACACTAGAGACCCAAAGAATCCAGTTGAGGGCCTGGATCCCACGTTAACGTCCTCCACGAGTTCAGTTGGACACCTAGAGCTCACAACAAGCTCTCATGCAAGTCTGTATCAAGGATCTACACTGGGAAGGCCCAAAAGCCAGTGTAAGCTAAAAGGATAAAGGATCTGTGGCAGCAGTCTGAGGAATCTGCACTGGAACTGGGAAACCATGTTCAAGGTGAAGACCTGAGTACCCCCAAAGAGAACCACAACCATCCTCTGCGAGGACTGTGAGGAACCCAAGCTCCTCCAAGAATGAAAACAGCTATTTCATATCAGGAAAACCATGGTAACAAGCTTCTTCAGGAAAATCAACAGCACCATCTCCTCTTCCAGTTCTGCTTTTATGCTACTGGCAACAATCCTCAGGTGGGCCTCCCATATCTACAACCACACTGATTCAGTTCAACTAGGTGTTACAAGTTAATCCACAAGGCACATGCAAATCTTGGGCCTGAGGCTCTTTTACACAGGGTCTCCTAGAAATTACTTCCAATCTCATCTTAATTGTGAATGTGGCATTTTACCCTCCCAAAGAGACTGACAAATCTTGGGTCACCCACCTAACTCTCCCCACACTCCCCACACCCTCAGAATGTCTCATGGCAAAATGATAATTATTTGAAAAAGTCTGAGGCAGGAGGATTGCAAATTTGAGCCTGTTTCAAAAACAAAACAAACCCTTGGGTCAGGAAGTGCAAATCACAAGTACACTGACATTTCATCTCAGACAGAACGGCCATCACTGAGAAACAATAAAAGTTAGAGAGGATGCAGTGCAAAAAGGAACCTTTCTACACTACTGTTAAAAATACAAATTAGTATAACTGCTATGGATATCAATATGGCAGTTCCTCAAAAAAAAAAAAAAAAAATTACCATATGGACCAGCAATTCCACTTCTGGGTGTATAAAAAAAAAAAAAAAAGAAAGAAAGAAAAGTGAAAATAGAGCTACCACTAGATCCAGCTATACCATTTCTTGGTAAATACCCAGAGGAATCAGCATGCTGTAGGGACAAGTGCATATCCATGTTTACCATGACCCAATATACTGTGCACATATGTATGTTATACCCTGGCCAGGGAATGGGACCATGAATGGATAAAGATGTCATGGTATGCATACACAACACAACACAAGGAAGAACAAAATTCTGTCATTTGTAAGACAATGGATGGAACTAGAGATGATGTTGAGTGAAATAAGCCAGCTTCAAAATACACAAATATTCAATATCTTCCCTATTTTTTCCTGTTCTAGATCTCCTATGTAGAATCTAAAATAAGATGATAGGAAAGTAGCAAGGAGGCTATCAGATAAGAGGAAGGAAATATGAGTGTTATGCTTTGTGTCTAGATGTCTTCCCAAAGCCTTATACAGTCATGTGGGGCAGGTTTTTTTAGAAGTAGCTGAATCTAGAGTTTGTGACTGATTTCTATGCAAGGTGGGATGGAAAGTGCTGGGATTAAAGTTGGGTAATTTGTGGATCACTCAATTGATTGGATTAGCACCATCCTAATCTCAGAAGTCTGGATAAGATAAAAGGAGCAGAAAGATGCTTCTTTCACCCTTTTGTTCGCCTTGCTTTTACTGTTTATCCCTGCCATAAACTATTGTCCTCTGCCACACCACCTTGCCTTGGAGCTGGCCAATTATGAACTGAAACCTCTGCAAACTGAGCTAAATAAACCTTAACTTTGAAAGTTGGATATTTTGGCCTAGCAACAACAACAACAAAAATAATAAGATAAAGGGATAGAAAGAGGAGATCATGTTGAATAGTAAGGTTCAGTGTTGAACTAAGAGACTCGATACAGTTCTCATCAATTTGTGACCGAAAGCAGAAGTTGGTGATCTAAGGCACTACTGTATAAGTATTGGTAGTGAAGAGGATGATTATACACATTGAACTCCCTCCAAAAAATGTGATATGGAGAGAGAAACAGAATGAAAGTGAACGAAGTATGTGTATTATGCCACTGGCAAAATGAAACATAATCTGTATAACATATAAAAACAGGAAGAAACAAATCATAAAATGTGTATACTAAAAGAAAAATGAAAAAACTTGAGGTCAGATTCTTGATCAGCTCTGCCTATAGGCATGCTAATCATTTAGAGCATGTATCTAAAAACTGGCCATACGGGGTTGATTAGTCCTGATTACATAACCCATCTCTTTCTCCTTCAAGAATTATAGGGACATTCAGCTACTGATGAGTGCCCTAAGTCTGCAGCCATTGCCCTCTGGTCATCTTGGATTCCAGCAGAGCTTCTGCTCAAACGAGGCTGTCTCAAGCAGAAACAATTAAAGAGCTGGCGAAAAGGATTTATCTGGGGCCAAAACTAGAATGGAGATAATCTAGTTTGATCTCCTTCAAAGTTGTGCCTGTTTCAGCCCAAACTGTTCTCTATTCTCTCTGTTCTTTGTGGTATACAGGATTGAACTCAGGGTCTCTGCATTGAATTACAACCTCAACCCCACCCTTTTTTAAAAACTTGCCATCCTGTCTGAGCTCCACAGAATGCTGTTACTTCATGCAACATAGGATAATGTTACTTTTTAACTGTGCTTTATAAATCAGACTATGCTTCACCACTAATGTATCCTGAAATGTTCTTCTGGAACTTTGCTGAGAACCTGCCTAGAACTAGGCATGGTGGCACACATCAATAATTCTGGAACCCTGGGAGGCTGAAGTAGAAGGCCGAAGCCTAGTCACTTTTGTAGGACCCTACCTCAAAATATAAAACGAACCGGGATGTAGGTCAATGTGAAGGCTCTGTTCAATCCCTGTCTAAAGTGTAAAACCCCACCCCTCATACCCTGACCCAGGTCTAAGGCCCCATCTACTCTTAAAGGGACCTCCTAAATCTGCTAATACATCTTAATCGGTTTTATTTTTTGTTCAACAATGGAACAACATTTTACTTATTCCATAAAATAGAGCAAGCATTCTCATAGAGCTAGAAGATGGTTCTATAGATTAGAGGGCTTGAAGAAAGCTGAAAGGAGGCAGATTTGGTGACCCATGCCTAGCATCCCAACACTGGCTGAGGTGCAAGTTTTCTTTTTCTTTTCTTTTTTTTTTCTTTTTCTTTTTTTTTTGCGGAACCGGGGATTGAACTTGTGCTTGTCAGGCAAATGCTTATTCTACTGAGCAGTCTCCTGGCCCTGAGGTGGAAGTTTTCAAGGCCAGCCTGTACTACAAAGTAAGACCCTGCCTTTGAAAAACAAAACAAAGAAGAAACTCGGCTGACTGGGAAATGTGGCTGTTACTAATCCTGATTTTTTAGGTCAGATAAACACTTTAGTTTCAGCTTGGTGACATGGAGTTTCACCTTGTGTGACTCCACTGTCATTTTTTGTCTAGTCTGAGAGAGCCTAGGATATACGGCCAAATAATGGCCTCCTGTGACACATATTCAATAACATAACACTTAAAGGTAATAAAAAAAAAAAAATCCATCCCCTTCCAGGATAGTCACATATTACGAGCAACACAAAGTCCTTCCGACTTTCATTAGTAAAGACGCCTAATTCCGGTGTTCGGGGAGGCACAGATGGGAAGAAGCTGTTAGTCTTGGGACTTCTCAGTCGCTGGGTCACAGATCAGATCAAGGGGCTGGCAGGATGGCACTGCCACAGGCAACCGGAACGAGGGTCAGGCCTCTGCTCAGGGCTGGTATTACTAGATTGTCGCAGTATGAGACGATGGCCACTGAAAAACTTCACTTAAAAGCCAGAAGCCCATAATCTAACTTTACTCAAGTGAGCCGATTCCCCGATTTTCTTTTAAAGCACTGAGAGGTCTGGGGCCCCGCGCCCTGACCCTCCGGCCCGGAGCGCTAGGCGCGTGCGCGCTGAAACCCGTACACCTTGCAGCCAGCGGACCTTCTGATTCCTCGGACTCCAGTCTCCCTGCAGCTCTTTCCTCCTACGTAGGATTCTTTTTCTTTAGCTTTTGTGGAACCGCGCACAAGCCAGCCCCTCTTCCTTGTCCCAGCAAGTCTGCAAGCCCGGGTTGGAAGTGGGGAACACGTAGGGGGTCAAGGGGCGAACAGCGGCTTGGGGCGGGGTCCCGGGCGGAAGTGCGGCTGCGCGGTCCAGCCCTTCGCGGAGGAAGCCGGAAGAACCCCTCATTGCCCCTGGGTCCCTGGGCTCAGGGCTTGGGTGTGAGCCCCGCAGCATCCAAGCACGGTCATGGCGGCCGAGGAGGTGGTTCAGATCCGTTTGGAGGGTCGCTGCTACCCGGTGAGCAAGAGGAAGCTGCTGGAGCAGAGCGACTACTTCCGCGCGCTGTACCGCTCCGGCATGCGCGAGGCGCGGGGCGCGGAGGCCGGCGGCCCCGAGGTGCAGCAGCTGCGCGGCTTGAGCGCGCCCGGCCTGCGCCTAGTGCTGGACTTCATCGACGCCGGCGGGGCTCGCGAGGGCGGGCTGCTGGGCATGGCGCCGGGCGACGAGGACACAGACGAGGCGGGCCTGCTGTCCGGGCTAGTGGAGGCCGCCTCCTTCCTGCAGGTTACGGCGCTGCTGCGGCTGCTGCTGTCCCAGGTGCGGCTCGGTAACTGCCTGGAGCTCCACCGCCTGGCGCAGGTGCACGGGTTGCCTGACCTGCAGGAGGCCTGTTTGCACTTTATGGGCGCCCACTTCCACCAGGTGCTGCGCCAGCCCCACTTCCCGCTCCTGGCAGCAGGGGACCCTGGCCTGCAGCAGAGGCTGAGGGAGGCCCGCATGACCGGGACACCGGTCCTCGTGGCTCTGGGGGACTTTCTGGGAGGACCGCTGGCGCCTCATCCATACCAGGGGGAGCCCCCGTCCATGCTCAGGTACGATGAGACTATGGAACGCTGGTTCCCGCTTGCCAGCAATCTTCCCCCAGACCTGGTGAACGTCAGGGGCTACGGGGCCGCCGTCTTGGACAATTATCTCTTCATCGTGGGCGGGTATAGGATCAGCAGCCAGGAGATCTCCGCCGCTCACTCCTACAACCCCAGCACTAATGAATGGCTCCAGGTGGCCTCCATGAACCAGAAGAGGTAAGGGGTCGAGCAGAGTCGGCGTCCCATTCATTCCTGGTACCTGCACTCTTCCGAATGTGCTGGGTGGGATGACGTCTGCAGGAGAGCTGCTGGCTTCCAGCTGGCAAAGCTCCCAATGAACCAGGAGAACTAGGAGCATGCAAGGAAGAAGAGGCCTCAGCCTGATCTCTTAGCTGAGTGATTTCTTTCAGGTATTATGCCTTCGTATAAAACTGTTTCCTTTACATGTATTCTAGTGCAAAGAAGTTGTTTCCAAGAACAGTAGTCTAGAAGAAAACAACTCATTCCAGATCATTATGACACTGGGAACTGTTTGGGGGCATCGGTTGTTTTCAGTAACTTTGAAGCCGTTAGTACTGTGGCACCAATCCATGATGAGCAGATAATCATTAGAGAGTTATTTTTATGTTACATAGGATTCCCTGCTCCTTTTCTTTTTGTGGTTCTGATGATTAAACTCAAGCCTTTGTGCTTCCCCAAATATTTATGTATTTATTTATCTTGAGACAGGTTCTTACTAATTTCTGAGGCTGCCTTCAACTTGGGATCTTCTTGTCTCGTACTTCTGAATAGCTGGGATTACAGGTCTGTGCCACTGTACCAACCTTTACTTTTTCCCATCTCTTTTGCTTCTGTCTAAAGATTCATCAACGTTGGTTCAAAACATGAGCTGGCTCAACTACTGCTGTTCCTTGATATCAGGTATCTGTGGAGGATTGGTATGAGGATCATCACAAATATCAAAATCTACCAAGGCTCAATTTCCTTTTATAAAATGTAATATTTGCATATAAATTGTCAATTTCTTTACTTCGTCTTTAAATTATTTATGATACATAATGCAGTGTAAAGGCCGTGTAACTACACTGTATTACTTAGGGCATAAAGATAAAAATATCAATGCATGTTCAGGACAAAAGAGATTTTTTTCTCAGATGTCTTCATTCCCTAGCTTGGTTGAATCCACAGATGCAGAGCCTGTGCTGCATGTGTGGCAGGCTGAGTGTATTTTCCCCTACACTAGCCATCTCCTTTCTCATCGTGCAACTCGCCATCTCCCCAGCACGAGTGACTTGAAAAAGGAAAAGGAGAAATATAAGGGTGGTGGTGGGAGGGCAAGTTGGGCAAGGAGCCAGGAAACAAGTATGAAAACAACAGCAAGGGCTGGTTGCAGAGTTACGTGCCTGTAATCCTAGCACTCAGCCCGAGGCAAAAAGATTGCTTCAAGTTTTGAGTGCAGCCTGGGCCACATAGTGAGTTCAAAGTCATGAACTACATAGTGACTGTACTCTCTGAAAAGAAAATAAAGATGGTAGGACTCAAGATGCCTCAACTCCACCACTCAGAGGTTAGGAGAACCATTGTGAACCAAGAACAGTGTCTTCTAGTCCACTGTTGCCTTCTCAAGCCCCACTGTGTCTTTCTTTCTTTCTTTCTTTATTGTACTGGGAATTGAACTCAGGACCTTGTGCTTGCCAGGTGGGCACTTATGCCACTGAGCTATCTCCTTGGCATGAAGACCCACTATGCAGCCTGCCCTGAAATGTGAACTAAGAGTTGCGGACTCACAGCTGGGTGAAACAAGTACTTGGGAATCTTTTATACACATTTAGTTCACTTGAGGGTCTCCCTACATCAGGTTTGTTTAGGGACCACTGGTTTTATTTCTATTGGAATGTAAAACTCATTTCAGGTCATGAATTTTTTTGTGAGTATGAGGAATCAAACTCAGGACCTCACACTTGCCAGGCAGGAGCATGAGCTATATCCCCAACCCCAATGACATGAATTTCTTACATCCTGCAAAGTGTTCTTGTCATGGAAAAATTTTCTTCATCAATTTTGCAAGATAGTTTTGCAGGATCCGTCAGTCTTGCTTGAAGTTGTTTTCTTTTAAGGCTTGGAGCACTTTACTCCAAGCTGTCCTCAGCTTTGAAGTTTGAATTGAGAAGTCTGTTGTAATTCTGATGGGTTTACTGTTATAAGTGAGCTGTCGCTTTTCTCTAACAGCTTTTAAGATTCTCTCCTTGTGCTGGACGTCAGGGATTTTGGCTATGATGTGTTGTGGCATGCCTTTTTGAGACAGGGTGTTAGTATTCAATTCAGGCTGGCCTTGAGCTCACTTTGTAGCCTAGACTAGTTTTAAACTTGCAAGGGAGGCTGGTGAGATGGCTCAGTGGGGCTGGTGAGATGGCTCAGTGGTCTAAAGCACCTACTTAGAACAAGCTTAGCAAAGCACAGGGACCGCGATTCAATCCCCCAGCACCACATGCCAGCCAGCCCTGCCCACTGGTGGGCTGAGCTGGCCGCGCGTGCACGCGCGCACACACACACACACACACACAAATAAATAAAAAAAAAAAATAAATTTGCAAGGATCCTACTGCCTCAGCCTCCTGAGTGTTGGGATTACAAGCATGTGCTACCATGCCCAGCTTTTGCTTCCCTATATTTGTATGTTAAATTCTTCCTCATATTTGGAAAATTTTTTGCTAGTCTATAAACCTGTTTCTATGCTGTTTATGCTGTCTTCTAGTTTTTCACTCATTCCATTTAATCTTAGTCTTTGCATCAGCTGGCCCCTGTTGTATCCATTTTTTATGTTCTTGTTTTTAAGCTGTCTTTGAGTTAACTGGGCTTTGAAAACATCCCTGTCTTCTAATTATGGCATTTTTGTTTTCACATTGGGTATTTCTGCTGCCTATTCTTTCATTAGAATTTGTAATATACTGAATTTCTGTTTTGGCTCCTTCTGTTTGGAATGTTCTTTTCTAACTGGTCATTCATGTATTGTATCATGCTGTTTAGCTCAGGTAGTTTTTTGTTAGTGTCTCCCGTAAACTTTATTCTAGTTTTGTCCATTGTCTAATATGTTGGAACACCTTAATTTGTTTTTTTCTCCACTCTTATGATTTCATATAATTCCATGGTGTGATTTATTTATTTCTTCCCCATCAATTTCCCATGGATTAGTTCTGGAAAAGTTTGGAGTTTTTGGAGAGCTTTTTTTTTTTGGCTTTGCTTTCTCATTACTGTTCGTGTGTGTGTGTGTGTGTGTGTGTGTGTGTGTGTGTGTGTGTGGAGGGGCAGGGTTCAGGTTGATTACAATGGAACTTTGTTGTTGGTATAGAGAACTCTTTCGTAAGCATCTGTTTTTCAGTGCTCCATTCTGGGCGTAGTGACCTATAGGCCTTTGCTTCTGTCCCCAGATCTAACCACCTCCCTTAATTTGTGAGGAAAAGATATAGTTGGCCTAGCACTCAGTTTTGCACCAGTGGCCCATAATATTGGTAATGAGACAAAGATAACCCGGATATCAGTATAGGAGAAAACCAATTAATAGCAGCAAGTATGTTACCTGGATAGTAGCAACAAAATCAGCGATAATAGTGTCAGACACAAACTGGATCTTGACATATCAGAAGAGCCAGTAATGTACCTCTCTTAACCACAGGAAGGAAATATATAATTATAGCATAACTACTGAGACAAACCAAGTATTGGCAAACGGTAAATGTCTATTAGATATAGCAATTATGCCTCTATTAACAATAGAAAGAAACTCAAATAATAACATAGAGTTAACTATCTGAGTATTAGTAAAGCTTACTGTTTATAGTAATAAAGATGGAGTTAGAAATGAGAGAGTGAAAAAAAGTAAAATGTGAAAAATTACTTATCAAAGATGAGAAAAGGGCTGGGGAAATAGTTCAGAGGTTTAAGTGCCTGCCTGGCAACCACAGAGTCCTGAGTTTGATCCCTGATACCAAAAAAAGAGAAAAAAAAAAATAAGGTAAAGATCTTATTATTGTGTAAAAGTAAATAGAATTAGAATAGCAAAAGAATGAGCCAGAAAGAGAGAAAAGGAAAAAGTTAAATACAAACAAGACTGAAAAATAAGAAAAAGTCAAATTCCAGACAACCAGTATTGGAAAGAAAAAGAGAAGTGAGTCAAAGAACTTTCTCTGGGCTGGGGAGATAACTCAGTGGTCTAAGCACCTGCCTGGAAAGCACAAAGACCTGAGTTCAGTGCCTGGTACTGCATGCTGTACTGGCTCCAGAACTGGGGGTGGTGATGTAACCTGTAATCCCAGCACTGGGGAACCTTTGACAGGAAGACCACTATGAGCCTGAGCTGTAGTGAGACCCTGTATCAAATAAATGAATAGGTAAAATTTAAAAAATATTTGTCTGAATTTTTAAATGACTACCCCCCCAACTTTTAACCCAGGCATGTGTCACTATACCCATCCTTTTATTGCATTGTTTACATGATTTAGATACTGCGTATAGAATTCAGTATCACAATTGCTTTTTTAAAAACAAATTTTAAGAGTTTTTTTTTTTTTTTTTTTTTTTTTTTTGGCGGAACTGGGGATTGAACTCAGACCCTTGCTCTTGCCTGGGAAGCATTTATTCTGCTGAGCCTCCCTGCCCCACAATTTAAAAGTTTTAAATGAAGTCATGAGTGGTGCTCAGAGTAGGCACTGTCATCTTCCTGCCTGTGCCTCCAGCTCTGACCATTTCTGTGCAGTACATCACCCTTAGCTCCGCAGTCCTCGTGCTGCATCACATAGAGGTTTTTTCCTTCCCAAGTCCTTGGTACTTGTATTAGTCAGTGCTCACTAGAGAAAATTTAATTATATATATATATATATATATATATATATATATATATATATATATGATAGTTTACAGTGGATGCAGGTATGGAAGAGTGCAAAAGGGCTATTTATACATAGGGGATCCAGTCAAAAGTTGAGGGCTTGGAGCTCACTGTAAAGTCCCACACAAGTCAATATCAGGAAACCAAAGGGTCTGTGCTAAAAGCTGAAGAGAGTGGCCAGCACAGCTCACCTAGGGTTCTGGGGCCAGCACAGCGTGCAGTACCAGGGATCTAACCCGAGTCCTTGTGCTTGCCAGGCAGGTGCTTAGACTGCTGAGCCATCTTCCTGGCCATTTTTGTATTTTAAGTCAGGCTCTTGTAGGCTGCCTAG